TCTTTTGGACAAAGTCTTCAACAGCAGCTTTCTAGTTTTAAAATCTTGTCCCCTACTGGATGTCACTCCTTACCCTCTCAAAGCACTTCTGCTCCTGGATGTCATTCCTTACCCCCTCAAAAGCTGTATAACTACTCCTATACCCTCCAAAGTTTCTGCGAGTACCACAAGCTTTTCTTTCTTCCTTCAGGATGTTCTTCTGAATCTTATGTTTCAGCAGCTTACATCTCTTCAGCTGAAGTTTCCTGACAGCTACTCACAGATGTGCCCTATCGCCACAGACCATCTTCCTGCATAGGCTGTCCTCTCAGCCTCTCCTCTGATATCTGGGCCATGGATGACTACCAGCCTGGAGGTGGGTGGAATGCTGCCCTCAACCTTCCCCCCACAGGCCTTCTTCTGCGCAGCCTCTGTGCCCCAACATGACACAACCAGCACATAATCCACTAAACTCCATAACCATCATCTCTCTCTCAGGCTTGAACCATGAGATCTTCACAGTATCTCATCAACCACTCCTGCTTCGTATCTCTGTATGATACAGTATTTCTACTAACACAAATAAACCTTGTCTGTCACCATCATCCTCTGGTTTTTCACAGAATCAAGGATTTGGGTTGGAAGGGACCTTAAAGATCGCCTAGTTCCAACCTTCCGACCATGGGCAGGGACACCTTTCTCTAAACTAGACTGTTCAAAGTCTCATCCTGCCTGGCCTTGAACACTTCCAGGAATGGGACAAATACTCATTTCCAAACACTTATTTATCTTGAAATGTTTACTCAGTTACTCATCCTGGGTGCTGCCACAGGGATCATTTTGCTAAGCCACAGCTATAACCACATCACCTCTCTCACTGTCCCTCCACTTTCCCACTGCATCAAAACCTCTTCACTTTCAAAGCCTATTCCAGTCTCCCTCCACTTGCCCCTGCACCCCTCTAATGATACAGAAGGACTGTTTTTATCTCTGGCCAAACGATGACAACAGGCTCCACTGCCTCCTTGTTATGTATTTGAACAAGTGCGTGCTGGGAGGGCAGATTTTTTGAGGGATATTAGCCAGCTATTCTACTTCAAATCTCTTTTCCAAGATGTCCTTTGCCAAGAAGTTGGAAACAACTAGCTTCTGACTATCACACAAGTCCAGGGGGTCACACTGTCTCCTTGGCCCTCCTGACTTGAACTATAAACTCTCTTCAGCCAAGGGCTGTGGTTTTACCTTCTGCTCGCACAGCTCCTGGGCCACCGGGGTCCTCAACCACAGCAAACACTGCTCTACGCAACAGAAATAAGATAATCAAGACTAACAGCAAAGGAAGTTACCCTGGGTGGTTTTAGGCTGAGTGCAACACACGACCACCATGGTTCACACTAAGATCAAAAGCAACAACGCAACGCAGTCCTCGGACAAAGTAAGATGAAGTGTAATACCAGCCAGGCTGGTGCTCCTGCACAAGGACATCCCAGAGCACCTCAATTTTACCTTCATCACTCAACCTGCGTGCTCTGTGTGCAATCAGCTGGGGTGGTTTAAAAATACAACTGTGTTACTGCTGCCAGCCTGGAGACGTGCCTGACCTGAATACACCCATCTATTTTTAGTGTATCATTGCACTCCTTTCAGCGATCCCATATTTATAAAACGGAAGTTATGAGGAAAGTTGTTCTTGGCTGGCACCAGGAAAGAGCAGCCAAGCTAACAATAGGCAAAGCAATTCAAGAAGTGCCAACAATAGGAGCTCCTTATTTTTCCTTCTAAAAGGTGAAAAGTGTTGAAAGTGTATGGTTAAAGCCTGCTGCCTCAGGATGCTCCCAGAGTGCTGTTAATCAGGCAAAATCAGAGGACTCCCTAACCACGAATAGAGAGGAAATTCCCTCTCCCCAGCAGCATTCAGTTGACACCAGCAAGGATGCTTGTTACAGTTCCCTGCAATCTGAAGAGATCAGAGCCATTGCAAAGGCATTCTTCATTCACCCGAGCAGTCCTTGGTTTGTTTCCCTTCCAGCCTCCAAAATTTCGGCCCTGCCAAGCTCCGGGGCGGGTACCGGGCCTACCTTTCCCTCCGGCATTCCCGTGGGACGGCGGCCGCAGCGCATCCCTTCGCGGAGGGAGCGAGGTGCTCCTGCAGCCCGCCCGCCACGGCCCGCCTGGCAGGGCTGGGCTCAGCCCTGTGCAGGGGGACCCCCCGCGCCGGGGGACAGGGGCTCTGCCGCGCCAGGCACAACTCCCGGGGCGCCAACTTCGGGTTTGCCACCCGGGCCTCCTTTCCGAGCGAAAACGCGCCGCAAAAAAAAAAAAAAAAAAAAAGAACCGCCCGGCGCAGACTTCCCTCTGCATCGCAGGGGCAGGAAAGGGACTTCAGGGAGGTGTCGCCCACCGTCAGCCGACAGCCACCAGCGCCCCCGGGCCCGCCCCCGGCCGGCACCCACCGCTGTCACCCGCGGGCCCGGCCCCGCTCCCCGACACGCCCCTGCCCCGGCGGGAGCCCCGGCCCGCCCGCCGCCGCCGCCGCACCTGTGCCGGCGGTCGCCGCCCTCGGCGCCGGGGCCGCCGCTGCGGGCGGGTGCGGGCGCTGCGCGGGGTGCGGCTCCGTGCGCGGCGGCGGGCTGGGGGCGCGGCGAGGAAGCCGCTTTCGGTTTCATGGCAACCTCCGGGCGGGGAGACCCCGGCGGCGGCACCGCCCCGCTCAGGGAGCTGTCGGCGCTGCCGGGGTGGGAGGGAGGCGGCGGCATCCTAAGGAGGCGGTGGGGGCATGCCGCCGCCTCCCTCCCACCCCAGCAGCGCCGCTTACCCTTAACCGACGTGACCTCCGGGCCCCCGCGGCTGGGAAGGGCTCCCCCGGCAGCCCATTCCCACCAAAGCCGGCTCCGGGTTCACCACATCGCCCCGCAGCCTCCCGAACGCTCTGTGAGATTTGATAAGGTCGAGAGGGCAGTCCCACGCAGGCCAGGGAGTTAGTTTTCGAGGAGGAGCTGAGGCGAGCCCACGGCGAGGAGCGGCGGTGAGGCTCCGCAGGGTGTGTCCGCTCCGCCGGTGGGGATAGCAACACCCCATTGCTCGCACCTCACCTGCCTGTCTGGAAGGCAGTTAGTTATTACTCCTTCATTATTCACATCTGCGGGACTGGAACAGAGAAACAAAGCCCACGCTAAATAAGCAAAGGGCACGGACGTGCCACATGACAGTTATTAGTGGCTATTATTATATAACTATTACCACATGCCAGTATTATTGGCTAACGACTCGAGACATACCGGAGGGTTCTTTACCAGCGAAGGCAACACAGCCATCTCCAGCCAACCGTACAGATTCAATGGCTTTGCCGCTTGCTCCCTGTCACCTGCTGCTGCACTTTGTTCTGTCTTTCACATTAAACCACTTCTAGGAAAACGAGTCTCTAAGGAAAATACTACACTAGAACATGCACTAAAGCACTAAGGCTAACAAAAAAAGAAACAACTGTGCTTTGTTAGCTGGATAGTCTTCAGAGGAGCTCTAAAAACAATACTAATAAAATGGTACCAAAAGAGATTCTTCTTTTGCTACAATGATTCAGACTTGTCACTCCCAAGGGAGTCAGTCCACACTGGATTGACTCCGGGAACCCAGCAAAGGCATTACTACAACAGAGACCTCTTAAAACGCTCCTTCTTGCAAAAAATGAAGATTTTTTTGGTTTTTTTTAAGCCTTTAGGAATATCCTGATTACTCTGGGTACTACTTGTCTGGGAAGTTCACAGGAAGATCCATCAGAACAATGAGCATAATGTTTCTGTAATTAAATATTTATAAATGTAAATGAATAGCTTGGAGATGGGATCAGATTCCCAAGATGAACATTGGCCGCACTGATGGTCTTCCTACTGCAGAACATGACAATTCCCCAGAATGGTGCTTTGTGGTGACAAGGATCTGTCAAAAGGATCATCAGATATCAGGGTGCAGGCATTAATTTAGAAATCACAACTCCTAAAACTCAGTAAGCATAAGAGGAGGCTTGGTCTGCATTAACACAAAGCTACATCCTTGAAACTGCAGTAGAGATCACACTCCCTGAATCTCAGTGCTTCCTTTTGTGCCAGTCAAAGGGAAAACTTCCAAGTCAGTAACAGCAATGAGGATTTACTGTGCTGCTAGAATTATTACAGTGTAGAATACTGTACTGGAAAAGATTTAAGAATTGATGCAACTGCAGAGTAGCAGCCTTCACTAGTGATGAAAAATGAAGCAAATTTTTTTTCCTAAGTTGTACTTTAGCATTATTTTTGAGGATGTCTTTTCTAAAAAAGGGGGCAGTTGCTTATTGAACAGTCCAGGTACTGTTGCCTGTATATTCTGCTTCTCCTCCCTACCTGATGCCTAATTCAGCCGTAATGGAGTGTAAGTGGTGGAGTTTATATTTGCCTTTATCTCACATACAAGCACCTAGGATCTTTAAGCAGATGTCTGTCGCAACAAGCCTGCTTTTCACTTGCTCTGAGAAAGGCAGACTCTGACATTTAGCTACTTCAGCCTCAGGAGAAGCTGGAGGGTCCCATTTAACAAGACTACCCAGCTGCTTCAGCACCATTTACAGTGCACCATTCTCCACTGGAGTTGTGAGTGTCTGACTTCTCTACAACTTCCTTTGCATTTTGAAACACATCTCTAAGCAAACACTCTCACGTTTGGCTTTGCTTTTGTCTGACAACACATTTCTGTCTGACAACACATTTCTGTCTGGTACCAACTATAAATTCAGTCTGTTCCTTTCTTTTGCTATAAAGAAGCACAACACAGTTCTAGTAACCTTCAGCCTAAACTCTGCAATTCTACTCTATCCATACACAAACTCCCACACATATAAAGCTACTGGTTTTTGTCTTGTTCTCTATGAATTGAGAGGTTTCCAGAACAAAGAAAAATCCCAATAAAATAAGGATGAACAAAAACCTAAGGACAAAAGTAACTAATTCCTTTTGCTCACGATCAACAAATTAAACTGCTTTACTATGATATGCAATGTTTAGTGATTGTTTTATTAAATGCAGAAATATCTGCTCAACTTCGTACCCATTCTGATTTAAAGTGCAACAATTAAATCTGATAGCTCTTGTACATCCATATTTTGCAAGTGTTGTTCCTAGAATACATGTCGTTCAGATTATGCCTTGCATTTGTAAAATGTCATTTTTTAGTACCGTTTTGCTTTATTAACTAAAATAAACTGTACAAAAAGCTGTAGTTACATTAGCTTTGAACAATGTAGAATACACGTTCTCTGCCAAACTTTAGTGTGCAAACATTTTACATTTTTTAAAGTGACAAAATTAGGCCAACCTTGAAGTCAGAGTTCATTACTACATTACAGAACAGGAGACCAGATATGGCAAAAGAAATTTCCCACTGAAATCAACACCATTGTATAATTTTATTTCTAATTCTTAAAAAAATATAAATGAATTTAGAAGAGAATCACAGTATAAGGGCCCTAACATATTAGACCATTACAAGGTACATAAAAATAGAAGACACAGATTTCTTTGAAACTTTAATCCTTTGATTAAGCAGCAAGCATATCACTCTCCAGGCAAACACTGCTTAAAACAAACCCTACCCCCCAAAACAGGACGTGCAAACTGTATGCACATATTCTGCAAAGCACACAATAAAGACATTTTGCTATGTACATACTTATTTAGTACTACAAATGCTAGGAGTTCCCTACTGTGTGCTACAGTGTATGCAAATTAAGAAATACTACCCTACCTATCTCTGACCCTCCCTCCCCCCTTCAAATACAGCACCTTTGCCCAGTTATAGAATATTTAAACAAGATTAAACGGAATTACAATGTACTGAACAGTTTTATAGCAGTTGGTGGTGGCCAACTGTACCGTAACACCCAACATTCTGCATACTGAAGTCTATCGACAAGAGACAAGACAAAAATTAGCAAAGGTACAATACACACACCTGGGAGACTCAATGATAAAAACAAAATAGAAAAGAAAAAAAATCCTGAAGATGAATCTTATCACTCTTAACAATTAAACTGAGATACTTAGGATGTCAAAATGTGCCAGCTTAGTTTTGTATTGGTTTTAAAGACCAGAGAGGAGCCAGATTTGCGTGTAGGGGACACTTAAGACTTATGACTCCCAGAACACAAATTTCTGTGGCCATGAATTCCTTGATGTTTGTTTTACAATGCTGCTTTTCTTACACAGAAGGTCATCTGATGCACATGAAGTGGCTAAGCATCTTCTCTGATGCAAAAGAAAATTTATAAGAACGACCTTTTGTACAACACCTCAGCACACCAGTGAAAGCTGTTCAGAAAGAAAAATCTCTCAAGTTTGATCTGAAAATATTTTTAAATGAAGAACTAAAACATAAAGGTCAACACTAACTGCAATTCAGACTACAACTATCAAATCTTAATACTACATTTTCAAATTAAATAGGATCTGATAGTATAAGAACTTCCCTTTGCACATAAAGACATTACCCAGCTGCTAAACCGATTGTTAGTCCATCCAATTTGTCTGCGAAAAAGCATAGGGAGAGCACATTCTATTTTCAAGTAAAGTCTCCTTTAAGTCAAGGGCAAATCTAGTTAATAACAAAATGGATTTAAAAGAATTTTCAAACACCATTTCAGCTATAAGCAAAAATAATTTTCTAAATAGTATGACAGTCAACATAAATGTTATTACATAGTCAAGAATGCCTTATTTTTCAATAGCTTAATTCGGATCACACAGTTTCAAACAGTGCTACTCAAGTTTGGAGCCTGGTTTACTTGAAGTGTAGAGGCATCTACTTTAAAAAAAAAACAAAACAAACCCTCCCCCCACCCCAAACACTGCTGGGCATCCACCAAGATTTCAGACAAAAATGCAGTAAAATGAGTTTCTATCAAACTCCTAAAATCTGGAAGCACTAATTAACACCCAAATGCAGGTTTTACTGAGCCAATAAATAAAACAAACACTCCACCCCTCCTCCATACTCTCAGCTCAGCTTTTTTTGCTGAGAAATCAGGAATCAGAGATAACCACTTAACAGTAAGACTGGGTTGGCAGGAGGTAACTACTTGCATGGTATTCTACCAGCACCACCAGTGTCTATACTTCCCTCATTAATTCTTAGGCAAGACATTAATGATTTAACATACACGAACTGCAGACAGTCATTCTCAGAGGAATGAAATTTTACTGTACTTACATTAGAAGAATTAGTGGAATAACAAATTAAATTAATAGTTCTTGCTAGAGATTCCTCTCCTGTCATCCCCCTGGGTGGTGTAAGCTGCTGCTTCTCTACTCTGCCGACCCTACAAGAGCAATTGCAGCAGCAAACTGGACTCCTGTTTTCAGTTAAATTCTATGAGAACACGCATGAGATTTAGTAAGTTTGGTACAACAGCTTATTGAGCCTTCAGAATACTCTGAAAGAGGAGTATTTACCTTTTTAAACAAGAAAAAGTGTTCTGGGAAAAACATGAAGAGAAAAAACATCTACATTTTACAGGTGTGTGAAATGCTTCTACCGTTACCTAAACAGGGCCAAAAATTCTGAACCTAAACTGTTATTTTCATTCACTAAAAGGTAAAAAAACCCCAAACAAACAAACAAAAAAATTCACACACACAAAAAAACCCAACACTACATTTAAGTCTCCTACAATATTACCTATTCCTAGATTTGCCAATCTACTTTCCTGTAGTTAGATGCTTGACTATAAAGAACCGTAATAAAATAAATAGAGTAAAAATCAGTTAAACAAAATCTTGGTGTGTTGAATATTTATTCATTTAAGAAGTTAGCTTCCTTCAACAGTTACTCGTATAGAGGAGGGCTGCATTGTAGGCATTGTTCTGCTGTACAAGTCTTCGGCATAAAAATATTTTTACACAGGTGGTCATTCATGTTGCTCCTTTTCTAGTTATTAGCTTGCTCCTCTGGGAAACTGGTCTGGTACCTGTGAAGGCTTGCTCTTTTCTCCCCTTCATTATTTGGAAAAAAAAGTACACTGATACAATTTTTCAGATGCGGGAGTTAGCATAATTCTGCTTTATTTCTTCAGTGCAGAGTAGACTGAGATTCTGTCTGAATTCCAATAAGTGAGGGTGGCTGCTGGCCACTAACCGTGGTTAACACTGGCCTTGGGTTTAGACGAGGAGGCATGGAATTAGCTGGGCGGATGAGCGGAGGGGGAGGCTGATTTAGCGTCGGCCGTGGCTGAATAAATCGCGCCTGCTGTTGAAGTGGTGGAGGCTGACGATGGAGAGCAGGAGCAGCAGGAAGTGCTGGACGAAGTAATGGGGGTGGCTGATTTAAAGTTGCCATGGGAGCGGCAGGTGCTGGAGCAGATGCCTGTGCTGGAGGTGAAGGGCCTAAACACTGAGTGGCCGGAGTGCTTTGTGCCTGCACAAAGGACAAAGACAAGACTGCGTGAACAGCCATCCCAGCCAGAACGTGACGTAGTTGGGCTGCCACTGTCCACTACACAGGAAACAGCATTTAAAAAAATAAAACCAAAGAACTGAGAAGTTACTGAAATCACCAACCAAAACATTATAGACAGCAGAACTAAAAATATTTATGAAGCAAGTCTTCTTCTAGAACAAGAATTGTATTTTAACAATAAAACAGTAATGTGATTGTCACTATCAAAGCTGCAGTCCTGCTCCCAGCTGGTTAACGACATTGGCTGAAGTTCTATGCAAGCTCATCATCATTCTTTAGAATGTGGTTTGCCACTCCACACCAGTTAACCTTACATTTTATCACTAAATAAAATGCTGTTCCTCAACCCATGCTTACTTATTTCTGGTACACAAAACACACCTCATCTTCTTCATCAGTGCTCTTTCCTGATGGCACATTAGAAGTATTTTTTGTGTCCTCCCCTAAAGCAGAAGCATCACCATTAGAAGCCAGGGTTCCTTGTTCCGCTTCCCATTCCTGCAATACCTCCTCTAAGTTAAACCGACGCCTGTAGTTTACAAAGAAGTTCTTCACTTGGCCAACAGTCTTGTTGCCAATTACATCTGCAATAGCTTGAAAATCTTTACCATATTTTCGGACACCTGGAAGGCAAAGTAAATAACATAGCTGTGAAGAATCAGTCAGACACAGCTACGTGTGATGTATTTATAGAGAGAACCTATGGGACCTGCAAGGACTCACTAATTAGGAGGAATTGTCAATTAGAAGAAGGGCTTCAATTTCCATTAAAACAAAGTAATTTTTAATTGCACAGCTACCAACATACAAATCAAGAACTTCATTAAAAGGTCATTACCCATTCTTCTTAAAAGATCCTGGCTTACTCACCAATTCTCTCAACCTAAAACCACAGAGGTCTGGCCTTGAACAAATATATCAAGTCCTTCAGCGTGCTCGCAGTAAGGGCAGAAGCCCATGTCAAGCTCAAAATGAGGGGAAGGGGGACCAAGCATGTGTGTACATTTGTAAACACAGTATAACCCTAGAAGTGTCAAGTGACAAACACTGATACCTTCTACAGGTTCCCTACATGCGAGCTGCACGCAGATGTTTCTTTTCCCACAACCAAAGCAGAAGGAGTGGCACAGGGCAGCAGCTACTGGCACAAGGCAGAACAGGGGGGCACAGTTACATCACAATACACTACTCCTTCCTGCACTTGTGAGGCTATGCAGAGCAACTGGCAAGCATTCACCTGATAAAGTCGTCTTGAAGCTTTCATTCACTGTTTGAACTGAGTAGAAAAATGTGTGGGTTCAGGACAACCACCTTGGAGAATGTAAATATATTGGTGTCTGTTTATAAGATGGCCTAGCACAAGCCTCCAGAACCAAATGCCCCAGGGAGCAGCAGCATGAGAAGAGGTCTTTGTGTCATTCTTTTCATTCATTTTTGTATTGACAGCAGGAGTCACTTTTGTTTACAAGCACTTCACAAGAAAATCCCAACATGTACCTTAAAAAGAGTTCTAAACCTATATTTGCAAGCCTTGAGTATAATGTTCCATAATTTTAAACCCCAAATTGGAATTATAATACAAAGTATATTGATTTTGTTATATTTAGAGTATGGGTCTAATTCCTCCTCTCCTGCTTAAGAGAAAAAAATCCTCAGACTCTCCCACCTCCTAGAACATAGCTTTTAGCTGTACAAAGTATATTTTTAATTAGAAATGTCCAAAAGTTTGGAGACTAAAAGAAATAAAACAGTTTTATTCCAGAGTGAGTAAACAGAAGACTCATTTTTTGCTCTCAGCTACACGAATGAATTACAATTTGACTTTTCCTGTGAAGCTCCTGATAACTAAACTCATTCAAAACACAGTACAGTGCTCAGAGGACAGGCACTCTGTCACGTTACAGGAAAAGAAATTTATGCCTGATTTCATGACTCACTTCAGAAAGTGAAGCAAAGGATTCAGAAAGTGAGAGTTGTTTCAAATCTGAAAGCTATGCTCCTTTTCAACTTAATTGTGAAGAGTGTGACCTTCAGCTTGTTCTGCTCTTTTCTACTGTCCTCATTATTAGGTATTTCTGATGTGCTAATGCACACTCACTGCAATTTAAAAGAGAAGTTCAGCTCCAGGATAGTAACGATTTCTGTAGCTGAAGCTGATGTTTCAACTGTCAAGAGCCCAGCTACATTATTTAAGATATTTTCTGAGGCATATAAAAGAATACAGCCATCCTGATTGCAAGAACCTTGTAAAGATGTCAGAACCACATGGGAGGGCATGTATCCAGGCAAAGCAAAGACAGATTTGGCTCTGTGCTTTATCACTTGTACAAAGTCCCAGCTATACTCCCTAAAAGCTGTGTGCACCCAGGGAACACTCCCTCCAATGTTTTAATATTCTCTGACTGACCTACCATGACTACCCTTACTAATTTATAATGAACATTAAATGCTCACTGCAACAAATCTAACATCCTGTACAGTTAATCAAGTGAACAAAGTGCCTAGCAGAATAAAGCATATTTCTGTTTGAAACTTAGTTCAGACTTTCAGTGATTTCAGCCTTTTGTGTTATTATGCTGTCTATACTTCTTCCCTTCCTTAATCTGCAAAACAGCTGAGCCTGTTGGCTAACTTCAACTAAAGTTGTCAAAAATAAGGTCTTAAAGCCTATTTCTGAGTAAACAGCTTGAAAACAAGGTATCTTGCCTTCACTAAGGAAAAACCTAAAGGAAATAAAATTTCCTTAGCTTAGCTACATGCAGTACCACTCATTTTGGATTGTTTTCAGAGTGTTCTTTACTACTGCTCTAGCATTAACACTGACTGCCACACAATGATGTAGTAAAATCCTTTCAAGCTGCATCAGAAATAGAGGAAATTCACTGCATGTTTGTGTAAGTTTTATGTATAAGGTGCTGGCATATCTGTAAGAGTTGATGCCAACTCATCATCCCTGTCAAAGTGGTGCATGTTACTTATGCATCCTTATGCAAATTCAGGGCTAAACACCACCCAAATTATTTCTCCAGCATTTAATCCATTATTCAATAAAAATAATTTTATTAGGTTGCTGAAAGTGAAGCTCCAAAAGGATGAACGCACAGTCACTTCACATGTATGAATGCTTTTCTCCCGGCTCACTTGAAAGTAGTTCTGATCATGGGAATCCTTCAAGCTTTTCAAAACTTCACCCAGCTGTAAAGGTGGACTGGAACATGTGAATGCTCTTGATTGATTACAATGTTTCATCTTCAATGTCTAACTCAGCAAAACTCATAAATCTAAGTTTGATGCTGTCTAAACTGCTTAATGCTGTACAGCACAGCAAACACCAAGAGGCACACAGAATATTAGTCTGGGTCCAGAGCAATACAATACAGCACCACAATGAGGCAGAAATAGTTAATGGTAACCTCTGGGTCATGAGAGCTGCAGTTCCACTGTGATGGGAATTACAGTGCTCCCAGCAACTATCTCACACAGAGTTAGATCCCAGTTGTCCCAGCTGTTTTCCACTGCAATGCCATGATAGCCATGTCCTGCTTTTCAATTCAAATTTTATTGTCTTGACCAAGACTTAAAACATTTTTGTAATTATGTTTTTGCACGGCCAAGATCTTAGTTTGAAAATATGATCATGCTCATACGTTTCTATACATGAAGTTTGTAAATGAAGAACACCATCTGATGAACTAGTGTTCATTCAATTACATTCAATAACTATACAGACAAAGCTGAACTGTTATCTGATATATTTGTAGTATAATTTATTGGCTCAGCAATCCTGAGTCCACAACCCCATTGCAGGCACCCACGCTGCTTTTAAGATGACACACAGCTGTATTTGAAGATGGCTTTTTCATTACTCCCTCTTCAGTTACTGGCATGTCTTAAGATTAGCCCACAGATAAGAGTTTTTTAATGTTTAGGAAAAACAGTATCAAAATTATATTACTACAGCTTATTTTTATGATTTCCATAGTTGAACTTAATGCTCAAATTCAAGTGAACAAATCACAGAAGTGCCACCTACCTGCATAATGCTTATGATCTTTGTAAAATTATTAAAAACATATGCCAAAATGTATCAATACATTTGATGAAATAAGTCTATTTTAAATGTACAAACTAAGTGTCCCCATGCTCAACTTAACTTCCAAGTTCAAGCCTAACACACATTATGGTAGCTTTTGATACAGCAACCATGACTACCTTCTCTAAAAACAAGCAATTACTATGAAGCAAGAGATCAGGGTCCTTTAGCCTGAGGGACAGAGGTTAATAACCTACAGCACACTTATTCCAGGAGGAAGAGACTACTAGAGGGCAGTAGGTAAGGGAGGGATAATAAGAATACTTTGTTTCTGACCTTAAGGTTCTGTCCCATCTCCATTTTAGACAGTGAAAAAGAAAGGGGACTATTAGGGAAACAATACATATAAGAAACACATGTAAATTCAATGAAAACAGATTTCTTCCACAAGGCCTGATTTCTCACCCTACCCTTAAGTACTGCAGCTGACCAGCTTTATAAAACACAAAACATCCCCTAGGGAAGAAACCAGAAGACTAGAACTCTCTAAGGAGTCACCACCAACCCTTGCTCTCTTTCACCCATCCTCCAGTTTTATTATTTGTCAATGCCATAGCTTAACAAAAGCTGAATGTATTCTTACAACTTTCCAAACTGATGCCTAGTGAGAACTCTGGTAACTAAACTATGAAAAGCCAAGACGGCTTGAAACCTTTCACACTAAGGCAGGTACAATGACCCTGGATTTCCCCCACTTCTCCAGCAAACATTCCACTTACTAGATTATCATAGACAGGCACCTCCTTCAGTTGCATTTGGGAACAAAATTATGATTGATTTAGCAATATTGAGAGGATGAACTTGGGACAGAGAATGGTTTGGAGATCCAAGTCTGAGGCATGTAAGTTGAAAGGCATGACTTCAGACACACCATGCTCTTCCACATTTCCATTCACACTTCAAAATAAACCTAACTTTAGGTTCAGTTATCTGACTAATAACTACCAGGTATGGCATACCTGACAACTTTTCACTGATACCCTGATCCACTGAACATATTACACTAAAATTCAGTTTTTTGTTTTAGAGGTAGAGAATACAGAGAAATAAAGCAGATAGATCATCTTTATAAAAGATGATTCATAGAAGAGAGTCAATATATAGTGTCTTCAAGACAGAATCTCCAGGTATTTCCCTTACATGTTCCTTGATTGGGCAGCAAGACAAGAGTCAGTTTTACTTCATATAAATGAAATAAGTGCAAATTAGCTGTATGAAGAGCCTACTAGAAAATGTTGTGGGTTTTTTTGTTTGTTTGGTTTTGTTTTTCCCAATAAGACTTAGTCAGTTATCCAAGAGAGAGCAATTGTAAAGCAGATTTACTTCTGCTTTTTCCCACTTCAAGAATATGGAAATGTCTTAAATGTTTGCTTCAAATTTTATGACTTCAACAATTACTTCTGTCTCCACTTTAGAGAAAATCATGTAAGGTGATTTAGAAGATGACTTTTTAGAAGGGACTTAGTTATAAGTTGTTAAATCCTGCTTAGTTTTTCTCTTTGGATTTAATATGGGTTAACAGAAAGACTAGTGTCATGTTGCTTGAATGAATGCCCTAAGTATTCTCCCTAGTTTTACAACTTTCCCAGTGACCAGATGACATTTAGCTTTTCATTAGAGAGAAATACAAACATAAACCTGAGTACCTCTGCAAATCCTTTGCATCAGATTTCAACTTGCTGCTACTATTAACATACCTTGTACTGCAAGAAGCTGCTCTTCTGTTGTCCAACGGGCATTGATTTTCTGATTAGACTATTAAAATTAGAAAAATGGCACAGAGATCATTAAATTGTTTCAACAGCTGCAAGATACCTAAGCAATATATTTTACTTGCACTACATTTTGCAAAACAGATAAAAGTCTCTTGCTTATAAGCCATAAATTTATAGTTTAGGATTGTTTTCATGAAGAGGTAGTAGTATTTATGAATTTGAGCTCAAAACTATACCAGTACTTTTTCCTCTGTTTTATTGGAGTTCTTAGTATCAGCAATACCCTAACTTTTGCAACAAGCTAATGATCTTAATGCAGACAGAATTTGAATTTATAGTTACATTTATCTAAACTATCAGGACTTGGTGACTAGAATGTTTTGCATTTATGTTCCATGTCCAAGCCTTTAAAACCAGCCAGGAGAGAACTTCAGTAGTAATAAACCACTCACTTCAGATGCCCAAATGTATATATAGTCATGTTTTCCCATAGAACATAGAATTTATTGCTGGCAATCTATACTACCTATTTTTAATCCCACTTCCCCCCTTCCCCCCATGTATCAGGACTCGATTTCAGCTCCCTCTTATTATGAACAGACATGACATTTCAGTTTTTTCTGCTTCGTTATTCAGCCAGTTACCATATAACGGCCTACAACTAATTTCTTGTAAAGGAGCCAGACTACCCCCTACATGTAATTCAATGGATCCTGTTTAAGCTGCTGCTGAAATGCAAACACTGCACTGCAGCAAAACACATTTCTACAGCTTCCCACTAATGTAAGTGGAAGGCCACAAGTTTTAATATTTATTCTGATTTACCTCAGGAGGTTTGAATTCTTCAATCCCGCCTTCCATTTTCTGTTTAAGTGCACTGTTTACTTGCTTAGCATTTTGAACCTTGGTCAAAAACAACAAAGTTAATCAGCTCCACAAAGAAAGTTGGTCACTTTACACATATATCTTCACTAGGATTGCCACAAGTGTACCTCCTAAGTTAGAAAGAGAAATATTATGGTTTAAGGCTTCACTACTTTTAACTGTTTAAAAAAAAAAAAGCCACAGCATAATTTACTATGGAGAAAAAATATTTAAGCCAGTCTTTCAAAAGAACAGTTTGTCTGCAAGAATATTAAAAGTTGGACATAACGAGCAAGTTCTGATAATGATGTATATGTTCCTGAAGAATGCAGAATACTCTAGACACAAAACTTAATTCTTAGAAATGAGATGGACTGCACATGTTAACTTATTAATTTCTTCCTTCTCAAAAAAAAAAAATTCATGAGATGTTTCCAGTTAACTCCTTCTGACAGTTAACTCCTTAGACCATTCTGATTTTCTTAAAGGTGACTCTTGACATTATTTTAAATATTTCTTAGTCTATAAAAAGGATAGAGCTTCCAAACTGCGTATATACATATCTATGAACCACTTAAATCTGACAGTGAAGCACACAAGGTAACATAGGTAAGAAAATAGTTTTGCATACTATGGTGCACAGCTATTACAAGTGTTCTTAAGTATGGACACAAAAGTAGACAACTCAGTGGGAGACTCCAAAGGCTGCATCTCTGAGATCACTGCAAGAAAAAAAAAGAGAAAACACAACCTCAAGGCTGTAACTCACCTACACTTATGCTAAAGAGTGAAACCCACCTATGCTATTTAGCCCCAGAGTCCTGCTGTGACAGAAAGCAGCATATTTCTCCTGTAAAAGAATATAAGGGAGCAAAACCCCCATGAAACCCTTTATTCACTCCATGATTTTGCAATATGGCAGCTCTATAAGGAGGCAAAAATTCCAGGAGATAAGCCTTCACTTTTAGCCCCTTCGCTCCTAGAAAACAAGCATGCACACACTGCTGTACCCTTAGAAGCTGAATAGATTTCATGGTTCAACTTTAAGTGCCAAAATTTAACTTCTTCATGCAAAGGATAAAGGCAATTGTCCTCTTAAAGGTGAAGACTACAAAGCTTTTCTAAATTTAGTAAGTAGAAAAGTTATCAATTCAAACAGAGTAGTAACTAGGCCCATGATTTCTATACACCTCCCATACTTTCATGGTATGTAGGGAAGGGCATCCAGAAAAACAGCCACAATTTAAAGCATAACAAACATAACTTCCTCTGTGTCACTGGCCTTATTCTCACTTGTCACACAAATACTTTTAATAAAGCTAAAAAAAACAAAACAAAACAAACAAAAAATTCAAATAAAATGTGACTTTAGATTTTTTCCTGTCCCCAAATCTGTAGCACTGTTTTTATGCCACACTTCTACCCACCCTTTTTTTCTTAATCAAAAAAAGAAGTCATCTTGCTTCATTTTATCCAAAAGAGCAGATGAATGTAAAAAACAAAACCGAAGAATAGCTAGTGTCCAGCATTTCTGGTGATAACTGTGGAATAAAACGAGGAAGACTCACATTAAAGAAGCTTCAGAATCTTCACAGATAATCTTCAAAACCATTACAATCAGAACAATCTGAGATGAAAAAAAAAAAAACCAAGACCAATAACCCATGGTACCTGTCGCTTTAATGAGATTAGTTCCATATCCAGCTGTCTAAGAATTGTGTTGGCTGCATTGGGACTACAGGAAACAGCTATCACATCTTCCTGGGTCAGGTACATGCCTTTTGGTGGACGGCATTTGGAACGCTGAGAATGGTGGCGATGCTGCAAGCTCTGATACTCTCTTCTACCCAGACCTATTTTGCTGGTCTGAACAGGCTGCTCATTATTGCCCTTTAATTTACAAGAAATAAGTCATTAAAGAATAACAGTATCTTGTATACAACTTTATAAAGTACCATGTAGCATTGTAATGTCAAATTTATGACAAAGAAAACCTAAGCTAACATCCTCCTCTGCATGTAGTATCCAAACAAGTCTTGCAGATGAGTTGATGGAGCATATCAGTCATCTGCTGGATAAGTCTGCATTAGTCTAGGCAAGGTCAGTTTTCAAAACTTTTTTAACGTGACTGCAAATATAATAAATGTTATAGAAATCCCAGTCTGAATACTCTGAAAGAGGGCATAAATTGAGAATCTCTTATATGCAGACAAGGTAAACAATATCTCATGTTTAAAACAAGTAATCAGTGACTTTACACATTTATTTCTGGTCAGATAGGAAGAGTTCAGGTAAAGATTAAGTGGGAAAAATAATAAAGTCAACCAGAACAGGCAAGATGTGTAAAATAACACCTCTACCTGCTGTAAGCACCCTACAGAAAGAGATTTTTTTATGCTGTTTGCTTTGGGAAGAGGGTGAGATGATTTGAGATGTGGAAGAGAGGATGGACGTACTTTTGCAGTTACTATAAAAATCCATGTAATTTAGAAAACTTTAAGCATTTGTTGTCTGCTGTTTTGAAGATGAAAGTGATAGCAAAGAAGAGATAAAGTCTCTGTAACTACTGTTTTGATATGTTTGGACACCTAAACATTTCAGCTTTATCTTCAATGAGCATTGATACACAAGAGCTAGTCTGCATGAATGTGACTCCCTTAGAGCAACTGATCAGGTTTTCTACAGACCAGGAGCAGAGACAAAAATTACAAAAATTACTTTCTCTGCAAGGATTTTCCAATTCAAAGCACTGCTTAGTACCAGAACAGAGATGGGATTCAGGCTTTTTGGTACTTCAAGCAGCTCCCTACTGCTCCTCCCTGCTGGCATCCATGAAGATTAAGAGGAGGTGGTCATCTGATCACAGCAAACAGAACACAAAATGCAGCAGCCATTATTATGTTCTGTAGCATTAGTACAGATCAGCAAATGGTATTTTGTTCTACTACACTTGACCTTCTGCCATGTTCTCTTCCCAGCTAATGTAACATCTTAATCCAGTCCACAGACTTCACAGAGGCCATCTTAAAAGTGCTTAAGATATGTGCTTTTTCTTGGAAAATTGATATAGAGCCTTACATCTTTGACATGTAAAAGTCCCAAGGTTCAGTTTATTTCTGCCCCGTTTATACCATTTGTTTTTCTGGTTCTGCATTGCTCTTGCAGTACGAAATTGCAGTTCTCTGTCTGTTCAATCTGGATTTTAAAGTGAAAATACTCTCTCGAGCTTTTGACTTGCCAAGCTAGAGAATTTAGCTTATTTTAGTTTTCTCTGGTAACAAAGTTTCCATTGCTCTTGTATGCTCAGGCAGCCTACTCAGTTTATATTTTGCTTAGGAAGTGAAAGTACACAAGTCTTACAGAAATACCAGATCACAAAGTTATCTTATGTAAATGCAAAACAGTTCATCAGAAACTACAAACCTATTTGTCCTGTTCCTAGAAGTTTATCAACACAGTATCATTCTGGACTGCATGTAGTGATTCAAACAATAACGAAGTAAATTGAGCAAAACAGCCCTTATTTAGACATGGCTGAGGCAGCAACTCCAATCATTAGATTGCAAAGACATTGTTACAGTAGCAGAATGAAATGCAAGAAGGTTCATTATTAGACCTTGTGACATTTTCAAGTTCTAAAAAAACATACCCCCACATATTAAAAAAATAATCTCAAACTCTTTTACAGAAAGGGGTAATTGTAATTGTCCTTTTCTTTTCTCCCTGAGGCAGCTAGATAAAGCGAGACACTGAAGGTCTCAGAACAGAATCTAAACCTATCAGTCCCCAGCTCAATACCATTTTTGTTAGAACTGCAATGTTTTATTAATGATCCCAGATACCACTTTCTGGGAGTGTTGAAGTTTTGCACTACTTCTCCTCTTGTTCTCAAGAAGCACGGACTGTCACATTTAGGAAAATCTGTGTTTTAAATTGATCAAGGAAACAATCAAATGTTTACACACTTCAGTGTGTTCTTCTAGTCTTGTTCACAAATATGCTTTCATAAAGAACCCAAAAAAATCTCCCAAACCTGAACATACACCAAACATTACATTTATCTGTACAGCCAGCAGTAAGTGCTCATTAAGATGACAAAAATGTTTTTCTCTACATTTATGAGAAGAAAGCACCTCAGTAAAGCCACATATTAAGCTGAAATGCATCGCCTCACTGTGGCTTTGAACAAACAACAAGAGTTGTTCTTAGAAAAGTGTAATTTAATTTTAAAATTCAAAGAAAACATTTTCATTCAAATAATTCACCACCAATAAAACTGTAGACATACTAACAAGACTGATGCAGGGCAAATACTGTTTTACCAGGTTGCCAGAGCACACACCTCTTTTAAAACATGAAGATCTCTCATGAAACAGTGGAGGTAACAAGGGACGCATTTACATCCACAAAACAAAAATATATGATAAAATCTTGTTTCAATAAGAAGTTGACAAGATCTTGATCACTTAAAGACCCTGAAATTTCAGCAGGCTGCAAGCCAAATCTCTGTACTACAACGTATTCTTCTCAACAACACATTCACAGAAATCAAGCCAACATTCACCATTAAGCAATCTGTTACCTCCTTTTTGGCTTCTTTTTTGGGATCATAATCACTATCATTTCCATCCATGGGATGAGCTTCTTCTACATCATCATCACTAAGGACAGATTATAAAAAAAAAAGAAAGGTCATTTTATCTACTTTTTAAACCCAAATATATATATCTGTAGCAGGGTAAGACAGAATTATCTACTCTAAATACATGACATCTCAAAATTACTTGCAGTTTTCAGAAGACAGCTGTTACATATATTTTCTTCATTAAGTTCCAGGAATTATTATGATAAACAAACAATCCTAAACTACAGTTTCAAAGTTACTTTAAGCAGTGCTGGTACCACTGCCATAAGTTTTTGTGTCAGTTTTCTTTAATAATTTGACCACCTGTGCCAGTGTGAACACTTACGTGGTCAGCTATACCAAGGTTTGAAATAATCTTTCATTTGCCTCATTAGTTTAAATTGATCAATTTTCAAACCACTGCACCAGGTGAATAAATCCTTGTTTAAGCCTGTGGGAAGCAAAAGGGCAAAATATACGATGGCAAAGTGTGGGACTGCTTTTTCAAAACTGCTTGCTCAAAATCTAGCAATCTGGGGGAGGGAAATGAAATCTGCTGAACTCAAAGAGAAAATGTTGAAAAGAAAACAGTCAGCTTAGTTGAGTCCAATGCAGTCATTCTGACCATATAATTTAAAAATAAATTAATGCAAAAATTATTTTAAATGCACAATAAAAAATTCTAGTTATTACTAAAACCCTCCAAAATGCTGTAGTAGAAGCAAACTGATTTTAGCCTGTAATTTTTCAAAAATAGGGTTATTAAACAAAATCATGAATTTTAGATTTCAGGAGTTATTTTCAATAGCATATTATTAGAAAGACCCTTTTGCTCCAGCTATGCAGTTTTCCATAGATATAAAATTATACTTTCCAATATAAAACATAGATTATGTTACTTATATATTCAACATATTATATCACCTTTTTAAAACTGCAAGTTAATACTCAATTATAGTAAGCACAATATAACTTGAATTTCATAGTAACTAGGGGAAATGTTATTCCCTACTACACAAGGCAACATAAAACTATTTTGAGCTCCAATTCTCTCTGCCCAATAGCACTTCTAAGTCTCCTAAAAGGAGATTTTACATAAAAAAGTTTCATAAAAGTTGTTATAAAACAATACTTAGACATTCTAATCACTACATCTCTTTACAGTGGTTGATCTTTCAGTTTTAATTCCATCTTAGTTAAAAAAAAAATCCAAACAACAACAAAAAAATCCCCCCAAAAACCACTCTCCTCCCTATACAGAAATATAATGCTTAGTTTGAGAAGTCTAACCTTATTTCTAAATCACATTCCCAAACTTCAGGGTTTTTTAAATCCTTGTTTTTACACTTCTCCATTAAAACACTCCAATCTGTTATTACAACTCACACAGATTGATAGTTCTTAAAGCACAGGCACCAAGCCCCTTGGTAAAATCAGAGACATCACAACAGATGCTCAAACCTAAAAAACATGGTTCACACTGAAACATAATGGCTAGAAATTACTTCCGCTCTCTACTTTGGAAGACTTTAGTCTCTGGTTAGCTACTTAAGAACCTAAAACTTACCTGTCACCTTGATTATTTCTATTAGCTAGTTTTCGAGCCTGCCGATCCATCAAACTTGTCCTAGAGCGAGTTTTTTTCCAAGAATAGTAATATTTTACAAGGCTTGCAATGGTCTTGTCTGGAAGCTAAAAGAATTCATTAACATATTAACACTTTTAAAAATTAAAATTCCACCCAAAATTATAATTCTGCTCTGTTTACAGCCACCTTTAACAAAATATTTTAAGTGCATCGATAAGATGGAAAGGAAGGATGTATTTCATGTACATTTTTAAAAAGGGGGGGAAGGCTTTTTTCATTAGGGTGCAAAAGCTGTACATCCAAGAGACACAATGAAATTAAGTTAAATCACTTATTCAAAGCTTTTACACAGAAATCAACATGAAGTTTCAGCCCAAGAGGAGCATTTGTTCTAGCGCATCTGAGCTATTTAGTGCTTCTGATTAAAATATTACTTTACCATTTGCTGAATCCTGTGAAAGCTCTTTCCATGGAAGCTAAATGCCTGTTCAAATAGGACTTTATCTTCAACTGTCCATTCATCAGGGAAAGGAGTGAAGTTAGGGAGATCGGCAAGGGACTTCTCAATATTGTGTTTATGCCAGAACAACATGCCGAGAGCCTTTGAAAAGAAATAGTCCCTCTTTGGATTAAGTCAACTTTCTAAAATGTTGAGACAAGTTAAATAAAACTCAGGCAATTTATTCACTTAAAATTTGACTATCAGAACCCCCTCTCAAAATATATTTACAATTTTACTGGTTATTTACTGCAGGTTACAAAATTCTCTTTAGAGACAGTGGGCACTTCTGTATGGTATGAAAGCCAGACAATTTAGGGTTGGCATGGCAGCAGTAATTCTAGAGTAGCATAAACTAGGCCGAGAGGCTCAATTCTGACCTGTTTTCTTACTTGACAAGCATCTATCACCTACACAGTTCCTTACAGGCCTTTTTTACCAGCCCACTCAAAAAAAGAAAATAAAAATACTTTTCAGCAGCCAGAGGATCATCCAAAATGCAAGTCTGAAAGTTCAAAGTGAGAGTGGTCTTTCTACAACTCTCCAATCCACAAATAACAGCACGGCCACTTCCATGTCATGTGCACCTAATAAGGAATGGAAATTTAAATATACTTTCTCACATAATTTCATTTCTTGATATTCTTAAGAATTTTATGCTCATTAGCCTTTCTGACAGAGAACCATTGACAGATTTGATGCCAAGTATGGCATGGGAATTGGGAAATGTAATCCACTCAGTTTCAATCATCCAGCACAGACATGATCACCATTTGTCTCTCTAATCCCTGATTTCACATCTTCCAATAACCTGGACACAGTAAACCTCTTTTCTTATTAAAATGTCAAGTGACAAACAGCTCTTGTAAAGGTATTTTCTACTCCACTGTGAACAGTCCATAAGTATTTTGTACCAAAAGTTATTTTGAAAATTCATCTCTTTTAGACTCGGGATCCATCAGTTTTCTCTCTTGCCTAACAAAAGTCAAGCCATAAATGAACATCACCAGACCGCAGGTATTCTGAACATTGTAACACTAGCAGCCTTTTTTTCAGACAGCAGTTGATGAGCAAGTCTTTGCTATTATGAGCTTCCATCCTCCAAAACTTGATCATACAACCTGGTTCCACTCGTGTGCCAAATAATTTTTCACAACAGGTAACCTCACTTTTACATAAATCGGTTAATTGATGAAGAAAATTGCAATAAAACTAAGTGCAGACCAGCAAAGTTTTATCCTTATTTTTAAGGAATGGTGACTGAAGGTTGCTAAATGAGAAGCGAATTTGTTACTTTCAAACATAGAGTTTGACTCTGTTTTTCTGCCTCTGAAAAAAACACTCAAAATTGGTTTGTCTTTTTTTTAAAGTACGCAAGAAACCTTTTCAGTACCATCCCTATCACAATTAATGGTTCAAAATTATACCATATTTGTATTCTAACATTAAACATTAAATTTGTAAGCTGCTTCCCTAAGAAATTCCTTAGCTAAATATACACACACAATTGCATGACATGCCCAGTGTATCAAGAAACATACCAAACCTTTCAAAAGTGCACATTACAAGCTGAGCATGTCATGAAAACAAAGAGCTCAATCTTTTGCAGAGAATCCAGACCACAACTGTATGCAGATCCATCTAACTGCAGTGTTTGCTGCCGTGCCTGAAGAGAAACAGCGTTAATTAATAGTAACCAATGGGAAAAAAAACCCAAAAAGAGTTGTGTTACAGTTTTATGTTTAAAAAAATCCTTTAAATGAGTACTCTCATTCCATAGCACTTACCTGTTCCACGTTGTATCCATGTTTTTCCTTTGCTATTGCTATATATTCATCCACTGTAACAAAGCAATGTCAGAATTATTCTTCGGTACTTTTAGCTCTGCTGTATGACACAGAATCTAACACGGGAAAACAGTCTCCCCATGCTTTAACACACCACATAGGCCCAGATCCCCCAAAACATTAACTATAATCATAGTTTTATTAATAATAAATAAACACACTGAATTTAATCCAACATTTTATAAACTTTTACACAAGCTAAATCTGCTTTCTTTCACATTTTTACTACAACATAACCACAGTGGTTCAATTTATTTATTTAAAGCAAAGACTGGCGGGTTATTGAAAGGCTATGCCTTCCTGGAACCTACTCCTGGGTTAGTTTTAAATTGAACTACTTCTACTGTTCGTATTCCCAAGCACGTTAAAAATTAAAGAGGTCCTATATATGCGTATCCTCAATATCAACATAGTTTTCAATGACCAACATTGATTTTAACTATGACATTAAGTCACTTTCCAATAGAAGATATAAAAATTTAATAATTAGGCCTTCAAATTCACCAATAACATTTTTTAAACCATATTTAGCCATAATAGAGCCAGCTTTGAATTGAACACTTCTCATCATTTTGCAATTAAGTCCTAGTTTTTTTCAAAGAAACAAAAACTCTTCCCATTTACCTTCTACAGTTCACAATTAAGTGGCAACTACGTAGTTGAAAGGAAGCATGATGGAGAAAAGGAAATAATTATATTCTCCTTATTCAAATGCACAAGAGATGTCCTTGCCACAAAGTGTTGCAGCGAAGAGTTAATTGTAATTCAAAGAAACAAAGCATTTAATAATCATAGTTTTAGAGTATTTTATTTCTAACTGTTCTGCAGTAGTTGAAGGTATGTTCTCTCATATGTAGAGGGATGCAAACCTCTAACTATTGGTATTAGGTAGAAACTATCCTGAGGATCGGACTCTCATGGCTCCATGCTCAAAGTTTACTCCTCTATATTATATTTGGGAAATTCTAGCATAGGAGACAGGTTTAAACTATATTTAACAGATAATTGATCACATTTAGTCAGATGGCTCCTGTATTTCAGGTCCCTTTTGAAGGGAGAAAATGTTCAATTTTTCTTTATATGGCAGCAACAATAATTTCCCCTTAAACTTGGCCTCAATGTATCTTCTCTGAATATATCCACTGCAACTCCTTCTCCTAGAAATTTAGAGCAGCCAGTTCTTGTGTTCAGACATTTTTTTATTAATAACTAAAGGGTTCACAGACACTGATGATGATAATACAACACAGGCAGTGTGATTTGAAACAGACTTAACTAAAATAAGAGAAGGTGATCTTTCCTTTCCTTGGAGTTTTCTAAAAAAAAAAAAAAAAAAAAAAGAGAGAGAGAAGCTTTGTGTGTAATTTACTAATTTGCAATTTCACTGTGCATAAAACGAAGAGCAAACAGGCACACCAGAAACAATTTAGTTATACTTAAGCACCCAAAACCCTAAGTAGGTAAGGACTTACACTTGGCATCTGGAATATTATGATATGGAGACCATACAAGCATCCCTCCATTATCTTTATCAGTATATTTTGTGGCACCTGTAAGAAAACAAGTAAGTCTCAGTATTTTTAATTATGATCTAGAGAACAACTATGTGACAGTAAGCAAAATTCAACCATATTAAGAAGTCCAGCCGAGCTACTAAGGGGAAGAGAAAACCACAATCATTAGTTCCACATTATCTTAAGACATTGAATGGTTGAATCTGAACATTATTCTCATGAGGTTCAAGCATAACTAAATACTGGACAGGATCCTGGTTACCACAGTTAAACCACTCAAGTGCATTGCTAAGGTTGGAAAGAATCTTACCTAGTTCCAATCCCTTCATCACGAGTAGGAAGACCTCACCCATCCAAGATGGCCTTGATCACTTCCACAGATGGGGCACTCATAACTTCTCTGGGCAACCTGTTCCAGTGCACCACCATCTCATAGGGAAGAATTTCTTCCTTATATCTAATCTGAATCTATACCCTCTAAAGGTGGCAAGGATAAAAAATTTAGAGGTACTTGTCCTTCATCAATTTTTATTGTCTATTAGTACTTTAAAGCTTATCACTATTATATGAGTATTAGTCTAGTACTGTGTTAAGTTAGGCTTCCTTAAAACAAATCAAAAAATAGATGGGAAGTAGGATACACTCACCATCCCTGATCCCTCTTTCAACAAGGAACTATACTAACAGCTACACTAGAAACAACTCTGTTCATCTCTCTCTGTCTCGTTTTGATTCTCCTAACCATACAATTTTGATATCCATAGCCAATTGAATTGCACAGCTTTAGAAAGCAGTTAGGTATAAAAGTAATTTTGAGTTTACTTTGTTTGTGGTTCACCTCCACCTCAACGTAGCAAGGGAAGCAGTACAAGTTACCTAACCTATGAGGACAGAGCAATATTGATGAAAATACTGAAGCATTAAATCACAGATTATTTGATTTTTGAAAATATGCTGAAAAGTAAAGAAAATTGCCCAATGCTGGAAAAACATTAATTGTTACTTTCCATTCCTATTTCACAAATATAGGCTACTAAATAAAACATCTCAGTCTATTTGTTTTCAACAGTTTATCCTGCTAAGAAATTGCTCAACAATTAGAGCATTTATACTTACGTTAGTATGAATTCCTTGAGCAATCACCCTCAGTGGAACTTTCTGTGCATCCTTCTCGGAGAAAGCTTTTTTTCAGTGAAACAAATAACTTTTCACTCTATTTTAAGCTTATGTGCTTGATATTTAGGCTCTACATCTTGTTGAAGCAAACAAAAAACTAAAATCAATGCTCTGGAAAAGAGAACAGCGTAGTGCTTTCCCTTTATGTACTATGTTTTGTTGCTCTTCCCTCTTTAGTTTGGCAGTGTTCTGTATCTGCTATCATCTTTGCAATCTTTAGGTGCATTCTGATTGTGAACTTAAAAGCAGTTACTTAGAAAAACTAAAAGAACTCATGTGTCTTCCAAAATGAGATGCGCAAGACATATAACCTAAATGCAGCATAAACTCTCTAACAGGTCAAAAATGTACATACATTCATAAAGCACCAGTTTTGAGGCATAAGCTCTAAACTCTGAAAGGGTTTTGGTATATAAAAACAAACTCCTTAGTATAACATTCCACTTTAGAACAAAAAAGCATGCCATTTTTAGTCATTAGGAATGTAATACCTCATGAAGAGTAATGCAAATGTGTTACAGGAACAACATTTCTCTTACAGACTCTTTATCACAAGTAAATGGTCACTACTCTGCATTCCACTTTTAAATGAGCAGAAAGCAGGACCACTAGAGAACTTATTAGAATTTCTGGTTGTGAGCAAGAAATGTCTAAACTTAAGATACTTTCAGAAAAATTGATATTGTGGATATTATCAGGTATTGAATATTCAAGTACTAAAGTGAAAAAAAAGTTTCAGAGTAATCATGCCTGCAGGAGACCATGTATGCAGTGACACTTCCCTATTGAGATGCCACACTCATGTGATGAAAAAGCAGCTTCCACCAGAACACTCCTTTTCAAAGCAGTGCTGTTACCCCAGCAGCAGACAGACAACTGTTTCCATTCAGGTGGCACCTTTACACTGCCAAGAGGAAAGCAAGGATGACAAAGGAATAATGGGATGCATACAGGTAGCTCAAAGGAAGGCATCCTGCCCTCAACACAGGATGTCCCTAGCTACAGTACAGGGATCTCTCCCTCTGCCTATGCAGGACCATAACTCACCTTTATGAGAACTGCTTTTATTAGGGACAGTGGCTGGAAATACCAGGGAACATGTAAACCAGAGCGTGTTAGAAGAGTAGAGTTGTAAGTCAGTAAGGAAGAGAAAGGCCAAGAGCTGCATCTGAAGTATAACACATCTCCCTCTGACCAAACTCCTCATTCAAGTCCCTTAGGAAGAGGCTTCTGAACTCCAGCTGCCGTGCTCCTCTAACAGTACCAGTTAGGAAATGGAGCTGGCTGAAGATGACCAACAGGCACTCTCTACCGCTTCCAGAATAGTGAAATTACAGCAGCAAACTGACACTCTGTAAACTTCAGCTTTACATTAGAAGGTGGGTACACATGGATGATGCAGCTCTGGGCATGACTCCAAGGACCAAGAATAAAATGATAATCCAGAAGAATACAAGACATAGTAAGGGCACCATGGGGCGGCATGGAAATTTAAAAGTATACTGTTTTCCAGCATACAATGTACCATCCTCTGCTTAAGACTGAGCTTTGAACTAAGCTAGGAACAAAACCATGGAAACTAACTGGAAGAAACTCCAAATTTCTAAAACTAAGGATTGGAAACCTTAATAAATAATTAAATGAACAAATAAGTAAAAAAAAAAAAAACCCAACAAAACAGGGAATATGAGGACAGACAGCATGGAAGAAATGGAAAACATTGTATACTTCACCACACCATATAATTTCAATTTAGGAAAGCTTGTTTTCATATTAGAAGACTAAAGGGAGAAAAGTTATAAGGACACACAAAGAAATGGATTCCATAAGTGACATTAAATGGTATAAAATATTCTTCTTGACAGCCCCAACCTCATTCCTGAGAAGAGGATAAACGGGAAACAAGTATTTCAGCATTAAGTAAGTAAAATTCATACTGAAACCTTTAGGAAGTCCAAATCCAAGCGGAATAACACTTCTCTAGCAGTTATCTTATATGTGGATGACACAGCAGGATGGTACATTCTCCACTATGCTTTCCAAGAGAATGTAAGCAGCCCACAACATAAGGATACTAGTTTTGCAACATTCTGCTGTATTTATAGGTGGGTCAGAAAGTACAAGCAGAAGCATTTTTACTGAAAATATAAAGTATTATAGGAAAACCAGGAGAAGACAAATCTGGAGGGCAGGAGATGGTGTATTAACTCACTAAATTAGATAAAACGAAACCCCTAAATTTCCTTATTAAAATTGTTTTTGCAGTGACAAAATTGCAGTAATACCTTGTAACAATTAAAAATGCTATTTCCCTTAAGCCCTGTCTGAAGGCTTGCTTGTAAAAAGAGTATGGTGTGGGAAGTGGTAAGAAAGAATGGTTTAAACTAACTTCTCCTAATTGTTGCTTCCAACCACAATCTACTTCTTCCAAGAAACACTGAGAAACAGTTGATCTGCTTTGTCTTAAAAAAGTATTTTTTACATAAACTCAGTTTAAAAAAAACCCCAAATGTTCACTACCATCTTATCTTGACCATGAATATTTTGTTCCTCAATGTATTGCTGCAGAGCGTTGCTTATGAGTATTTTTCAACACAGGCAAAGTGAGACTAAAGGATTGGTATTTATTCTACTCATTTCAGTCATCTATGTTTATCAGAGGACTGACTGTGTCTTAGAGTTATGTCTAGTTCCAACCACCATTGATTACCTTCTCCCACTTATTTGCTTTAAGGGGCTTAAAAAAACAGCACTCGGAGTATCACAAATAAACACACACTCTAAAGTATCAGCTAAAATCTCAAAAAAGGGTATTAAAATGATTTCAAGAAGAAACATAGTTAATCAGAGATAGTGTCTGTGCAACCTAGAAGTACAATGGTGCATGCTACCTCACTTGCTACAAAAAAGTAACCTAAATGTAGCTCTAAGAGCTCAGATTTGCCTGCCATTACTTCTAAGAAACAATACCTCACGACTCATTGGAAGAATAAACTCAACCAAAAATATCAGATGAAAGCATGAGATATTGTTGACATCATCTCAGACAACCAATCCGTTAACTTGGTAAGTATGTGCTATACTCCTAACTTTGGACTTTTTTATTTCTTAGGTATTCCAATAAAAGTCACTACCTTCTTGCCCTAATAATCAAAGTAGACACACCAAGAAGGACAATACTATACATTATGCCTCTAACTCAGGACTTCTTAAATAAACACCTCCATCATTAAAGAAATCGATAAAGTGAATATATATTAGTCCCAGTTATTGGGGAAGGGGGCATTAGTTGAATTCCATCCCCCAGAAATGCTTGGAAGCTCTAAAAGATCCAGTTATAAGAGAGCATAAAATTAGTTCTGCAGTTACAATGATGCCAGTTAATGATCCTATTGCATATACAGTTTACAAAATTGAAACCACAAAACCTCAGTTGTCTTACAAGCGCTGAAGAGTTCCTTTAATCAAAAGAAAAACAAACACTATGTGCTTTTCTAATTTAAGTGGCCTGTAGGAAAAACAAGCCCTGGCTGCAGGTTAGAAACAATAATTTTTATCTGTGTTTATTTTTATGTAGGCAATGTAAAAGTAAAGGGTGTAAGCAGTTAGCCTTATTAACAAAGAGATCTAGACTACGTGCTCCTTCCTAGGGGAAAGGCATTCCCTTATGCCAAGATCATGCATCCATTTAATCCCACCCTCCTCCTTTCTTTCTCCCGGCCTTTTCTTTGGCCTGCGGGGCTTGCGCCCATCAAGAGGGGCTCTCTCCAGCTTTAGGAGGCTCTATGTGAGCAATCCTCTTCCGGTGAGAAATCATCTGGCACCAATGGAGCCCGTTTGGAGAAGAGGAAAGTAGATAGGCTTCATCTGACCACTACAGCAAAACTGATAAACGCTCCTCCGGTCTCCCTGCTCAGTGTAGTAAGGCAAGACAGTATTCCAGCGATTGACTTGCTAAAGCCGAGTACCAGGCTATGCAAGCGTACCCAGTATTCCTCGGGGCGCGGCTGGGGGGACGAGGAAGGCAGAGGAGAGCAGCTCAGCCTGCCACGGCGGGGCTAGCGAGGCTACTACAGCACACAAAACCAGGAGCAGGAGTTTCCCACCAAGCGCATCTTCCACCCAGAGCCTCCAGCACGCAGCCAAGGTCTGCTCCGCTTCCGGCAGGGCGCATCACTTCCCACCCTTGCCCGAGAACATCCATCACCCCTCATCAAATATTTTAAAAATCACCTCGTTAATGTATTATGTGCGTTATGGTTTAAGGAAGGGGAAAAAAAAAAACCCAACCTTTTTCTGCTTCACCGCCTCCCGCCGGATGCACATAATGAGGCCGATAATGAAGTGAGAATCCCACCCCGCGATGCCCCCCCCCGCCCCCGGGCGCACGGAGCGCAGATGCTGCCCCGGCGAAGCCTCCCGCCGCCGGCACCGCATCGGCGACACAAAGGCTCAAAAGCAACCTAAATACAACCCCGCGGCCGCCGCCGCCGGGGAGCGCCGAGCCGAGCCCCGGCACCGAGCCCACCCCTCCCGCCTCGGGAGATGTCAGGTTACAGCCGAAAAAGCCATTTACCGGGCTCGAAGTCAGGAATGCGCGCCTGGTATTCCGCTCCGACCCTCATTCCTACATCTGCAAGGCAAAGAGGGGAGAGAAATTACGGGCTGGAGTGTCCCCGGGCGCCGTCCCAGCTCCCGCCGTGCGGCGGGCGGGCGGGCTGGCGGAGCCCCGCCGCGGCCGTGCGGAATAAGCCACCTCCCCCGCCGCCGTCCCCCCGCCCGCCGCCGCCGCGGATTAAGCCCCGACGACCGCCGAGGAGGGGGCAAGGAGGAGGCGGAAGGGGGAGTTTATTCCAGCGGAACAATGGGGACGGCGGCGGCTCCCGGAGACACTCCTCCCCATCGCTGAGTACCGCGGGGGCAGCCGCGGGGCCGCGCCGCGCGCTCCCGCCCCCCGCCCCGCACACGCGCGGCCGCGGCTCGGCCGCAGCACGGACGGAGCGGCGGAGACCCGGCTCCGGGAAGGGGGAGGCGGCGCGGCTCGGCTCGCCGCCCCTCCCGCCGCCTCCGCCTCCGCCACTCCCCTCCCGCCGCTGGCGGGGCGGCCCCAGGCTCGCACCGTGCTCGTCGCCACTGTCGCCGCCGCCGCTCTCCGGCTCCGAGTAGTGCCCGTTGGAGGGGCTGCTGCTCTTGGCGCCGTTGGGGGCTGCCCGGCTCTTAGCCCCCAAGAGCTCTGCTCCCTTCTCCATCGTGCCCAGCATGCCAGAGCTGGGAGCAAGGGAGAGCGGCGGCAGCGCTGGCTGCCGAGGGGGGGGAAGTTAATACGGAGCCGCCATGTTGCCCCCTCCCCGCCCCCCCCTCGGGCACCTCCTCCCCCCTCCCGTCGCGCCCCCCTTCCCCCGGCGCCGGGAATCCCTCCGCGCCTGCCCGGCCGGATCTCGCCGAAGGGGCGGGGATGTCGGTGGAGCCCCGGCGGCGCGGCCGAAGGAAGAAGGAAGGATTCCTCCCGCTCCCAGACCGCTGCCGCGCCTCGGCGATGCGGGGCTCTCCCGGCGAACGGGGCCGGAGGAGAGAGGGGACTATTTCCCGCCGGCGGCGCAGGGATCCCGGCGGGGCGGGGTGCTGCGGCCGGCGGTGGTGCCGGGGCCGGGAGGGGGCCGCGCGGGGACAGGAGCGGGTGTGGAGCCCGGGGCGGTGGCGGAGCGGGGCCGTGGCCGTGGCCGGTCACCTCGGGGGCGGAGCAGGGGCCGAGCGGGGGCCGTGGTCGGTCACCTCGGGGCGGAGCGGGGCCGGAGGGGCCGGGCCCCGACGGTGAAGACCGATGCTGTCACATCGATGAAATTGCACGATGTGTGAACCGGTGCTCGTTTTTCTTTCTATTTTTTTTTCTAATAATTCTAATATTTGTTTATTTACAGTCTGATATTTATTTACCTGTTTAATGCAGTTCTTGTGTGTTACCAAGTGCTCTGTGTCACCGCCCAGTTTGTATCATAATATTCGCGTTTTATCCGGTGAATAAAAGGCTGAGAGGAGCATCAGGCCAAGGCTGAGTTACAACGTGGCAGCAGTCTTGCTGCTAAATCTGGAGATGCATTAGAGTGGTTTGTTTCTCTGCGAATGCATTTAGTGTTGTTGTGGCTATACTTCAAGTATGTGTTAAAGGTATTTTTAATGGTGCAGTGATAACTTGTCAATCTGATTTCTGGATGTAGGGGGAGAAAAGTATAAACTTGAAGCTACCGTTGCTATATCTTGTAGCTAAGCCTCATGTTCCAACTAAGACTGTCTGACGCGATCCATTACCCTTTGTCACATCTCCGCAGTTCTTCCCAAACTTTGCCCTGTCGGCTGTTTACCCCAAGTTGGTTGGCTGATTGATTGAAGAATGCTAGCTGGAATGGTACAGCTGCTTTCTTACAGTGACATTAAAGGGAGATGACTACTTGTGTCCCTACTTGTGACTACAAAGTGTTCATACTGTTTTATAGTAAATTTGTAACATAACAAAGTTAGCTATGTTTGCAGGGTGCTGTTGCTTGATCCTTGTCTTGAAATCAGCCTGTTATGGTCAAATTATATACTTTTGAAAAATCTTTGATTTACATGCACTTCCTAGAATATGTCAGGATAATATTGTCCAGACTCTTCCTGCCTTGGGAATATTGTGGTCTTTGAAGAACTACTTTTGTGATAACTTTTGGCCGATGACTATCAAAAATGGGAGAAAACAAGCTGTGACTCCTTTATGCATGCTGGTCTCTCTCTCCAAGAGTTGGAAAGAAAGATCAGTAGGAGGAAGGTCAGAGCAAAGGTGGTTGACTGCCTGCAATTGCCTCAACAATTGAGGAATTGCAATCTCACAGTTTAATGTACACCAAAGAATTCACATAAGAAAACACACGCAAGTGCCAGAGCCACAGGAAAATCTTGAACCTATATTTGTACTTTCTGGACACGAAATCAGTAAGAAAACTTGGAAGGAAGTTGGTATTTGTTGTTTTAGTTCTCCTAAAGCTGGTTATTTGAGGCTTTTTAGATTTGTTTTGTACAGGTGTGAAGTTTGGGCATGTGTGCAGGATTGTGACTGCACATGTCTGACAGTTCTTAACTACTGATATAGCCACTGAAAATTTTAGTAAGCTGTTACAGCTTTCAGGAATGCTGAGTTGTTACAAGTGTCATGAAGATAACCACCTGAAAGGAAGAAAGATTCCTTGTCAGCATGGCTGGGAGGAGAATTGTCTAAAGCACTTGACCTTTTGTTTCTGTTAATTACATGACTGCTGATAAAACTGCATTTCAGAGGCTACATTAAAAGAGCATAGGTGCTCTTAGATATTAGCAAGTGCATGTAGTGATTTTTTTCCCCAATGTTGTCTGACAGTTGGGTTGCTTTGGACTATTCCTCCTCTTGTATTCCTGTGTTATCCTTCTCTTCTGTTTTTAATTTTTTATTTTTTATTGTTTTTTTACCCCTATCTCGTTAACTCCCATGTCACATTAAGTATGTGGGTGCTTCTGGATTAGATGTGATGTGATAAGGCAGGCAGTTGTTTGACATTGGTCCAGCATTTGTTCTAGAAACTATGTATAAGGAATTAGCTTAGACTAATATCAGCATATAGAATCATAAAATCGTAGCATGCCTTGGGTTGATTGGGACCTTCAAGATCATCTAGTTCCAACCGTCCTGCCAAGGGCAGGGATGCCACTCACTAGATCAGGTTGCTCAGTGCCCCATCCAACCTGGCTTTGAACACTTCCAGGGGTGGGGCGTCCACAATCTCTTGTTATTGTATTCTGTATCCTTTCTTCGGTTGTATCCTTCCTTCTGTGTATCCTTATTCATAATTTTTGTTTCTAAACATAAGCTGTGGAGCGCAGCATTGTAACCAATGCATTCAGACGGTGCAACTTGGGCCAGTCTAAAGATTCTTTTTAGGAGCCTACGAGGTTTTCGTTCTTGGAGATTATGCCTTTCTTCTTAAAAAAGCCTGTTTTCCAAGTCATAGTTTCAGGGGAAAAGGTCGTGTTTGGGCAGGAGGGGAGGGATTCCTGGAGTGCAAAGCGGATTGCAACAGGAAGGAAGGGAATTAAGGAGTGGAGAATTTGTAAACAAGGAAGGCAAAGCAGTTGCTTCTTCCCTTTTAATGAAATTGCTAAAAGGCTTTAGTAGAAAGAGAAGCTCAAAAAGGAAACAGCTTTCACTATCCAGGAATTAACTCAGCTTAAAACCCGCATGGCTTCTGAGGTTGCTCCACACAGGTTTTGACTCTGGCAGCCATCTTCGTTAGTGCAGGTTCTTGGAATTCATTACTTAAAATCAGGCTCTTGAACTGTGGACTTCTGTAATTCATTATTATTACCTTACAGTCAGGGATAGTGACAGTATTAACTGTTGAGTGGTGGGGATAATGACAGTATTAACTGTTGAGTGGTGAGCCATGGGAAACTAAAGACAGTTTATTCAGAAGAAAATAACTTCATAAAACTGTGTGGGTTTACATGCCTATATTACTATAGAATTGTTTAGATTGGAAAAGACCTCTAAAATCATGGAGTCCAACCATTAACCCAGGACTGCCACCATCACCAAAACATGTCTTTAAGTGCCACATCTACACATCTTTTGAAAACCTCCAGGAATGGTGACTCAACCTCTTCCCTGGGCAGCCTGCTCCAATCTGTGACAACTCTTTCTGTGAAGAAAGTTTTCCAGACATCCAATCTAAGCCTCTCCTGGTGCAATTTGAGGCTCTCATCCTATAACTTGTTACTTGAGACGTGAGACCACCCCCCAGTTTGTTACAACCTCGGCTGCTCCTTATAAGACTTGTGCTCCAGACCCTTCACCACCTTTGTTGCTCTCTGGATGCTCTCCAGCACCTCAGTGTCTTTCTTGTATGTTATGCCCATCTCACCTATGAAATTTCTAGCTCAAGAAATTCTAGCTCATGAAAAGTATTGCTGATCACATGTTTGGCCTCTTTATCTTATGGTGACAGTTTCATGCTTTCAGTATTTTTGGAAAGAGCATTTTAACAGTTGCTTGTATTGGCGATGTTACTTTACACCATTTAAAATCAGGGTTCTTTTAGATATTTTCAGAAACAGGTCAGACAGATTTGTGATGCTTTTTCAGAAAAAATTATGAATATATAATGTGTGTTGTGTGGAACACAGAAAAAATGGGATGACCTCTTTGGCAATATCCAGCTTGGAAACTTGTGCTTTAATGGGAAGGTTTATAATTTCCTTTGGTATGAATGTTCCATAAAGAAAAGTAAGCTCTTTGTCTTCATAAACATATTAAGAAAAGCTTGCCTGGAATCAAGGTAATTTCAGATAAATTACACCTCTTGGAGTCTGTTCGGTCCTCTGCTGGAAAATATATAGGTGTCATCTGTCAAGTACTGTGTTTCTTTTATATTAAACACAACTAGGCCTGCTGGGTGGTAAGTGGGAGGCTTAGAGTGGACAGGATGAGATTTATTATTTCTTTTAGACTGTTGGTTTTTGCTGTGTTTAATTCAACATTCTCGAATTTTCCAAAGACTTCTCATTTTAGTGGAACCAGTGGAAGATGGTGGAAGTTTTGGGTTTACTACAGTTCTAGAAAATCAGGCCTTCAGTCTCAAGCTGGCATTTATTAGTATTCCTGAATTATAATGTTTTATTAAGGCAGAAATTAGTAAAAATTTGTTCTATAACTGACCAATAAAATGCAACAATAAAGCATTCACTAACTGCCTTGCTGCTGTTACTATCTCCCACTTGAGAGTTGAGATTTTTTTTTCTTTGTTTTCTTTCTTTTTGTAGGGCTGCCTTCCAGTTACAGGTTTCAAGAGTTATCTGCTTTCCAGATCGGAATGGAATTTCTTCTACATCAGGACAGTCAGAAACTTATTCTTGGGAGATGCAGAAAGTCACACTATAGATTCTTTTAGAAGTCCAATGACTTCAGCAGTTGTAGACCCTTTTTCCTATTTAAATACCTTCTGCCAGCTGATCAAATCATACTCTTCTGAAACCTTTGCCAAAATTTGATTTGTACAGTGTTGGTGGTAGATATGTTGAATGGAATTGGGAATGTAAGGACTTGGCACTGTGTTAAAAATAGTATTTTGAAATAAATTATTTGCTGAACTGCAGGAAGGCTTATTCAGGAACGAGCATAATGCGTTGGTGCTAACATCCATCTTGTCCAGTACTTTGATCCTGACAGTTACAACAGCAAAGGCTACAGAGGAACTAATTTTGGGGCCGGTGCCATAATCTCCATTCCATGTTGGCAAGAAGCCTATTCTTGGTCTTGTAAAGATTTGCTGAAGCTCTGAAGCATAAAGCTTGCTATCTTTTGAAGAAAAAAAACCAGTTTTGGTTCCTCTGGTTGTGTTATGAAAATGTCTCTTCCACCTTCACATATTTGTAGACTCTTGTCTCAGTGATTTTCTATAGCAGTGAGTTCTACTGACGCTATATGATGATTTTTTTTTTTCCTTTAAAAGAAAGGTTTTTTCTCTTTTTCTTGACAGGAGGGACAGGTGTTCCTGATCAGCCCTTTCAGTATCATTATTTCATTTCTCTGCAGTTAATCTAAATATCTGGTAAGCTGTACTGTTTAGAAAAATTAAAGAGGGTTCTGTGTCCATTTGATTATCATGACAGACTGTGGGAAAAGCCTGAGTTTAGCTGGCTTAATCTTATGTAGGCAACTCGGGACAGTAGGTCATTGCAGAAAGTTGTTTTAGAGACACCATTTAACCACTTATATTTTTGCATACCCTCTTCAAAGTAAATTTTTGTAATAGCTGGCAGTATGCCTTTGAATGAAAACATTGACATTCAGTATTGCCAGTGAATGTTCTCAGACTATGTATGAATAGCCTGTGTACATGGCCGAAATGGTAGCATCTTTTTACAAGTTAAGTTTTGTTCTCCATAGCTTCTCTTACCTGTCTTTGTGTGGTTTAAGGGTGGGGAGAAGAGGTATAAGGTAGAAAACCCCTCTGACTGTGTATGACCATAAGAAAGTCCCTGAGGTATTACAAGAGTTTGTATTTGTTTTCCACTTTGTTGTTTCTATAGAAAAGCATATACTGTTTCTTAGAAGTCCCTGTGTTATTGAGTTGTGCTGGATTTTGGAGGTCAGTGTGGCTGGACTGTGTAGATACCAAAACATTCAAGTATCATATCTTTTCCTACTGTAACTATTGTTTGGCTGATGTAATGATCCACAGTACAGCTATGTAGTTTAGGATGGATCAGCAAGAGGTTGCATTTTGACAATATCTGTCAGACGGAATTGCAAGCAATAAAAATACAATAATTAGTTAATTTTTTTCTGATATATATAAGATTTATTTTTGCACGTGGAAATTGTTATTATAATACAATTTTACTGTATTTTTCTACAAGTACAAATGGTCCTCTTAAGTGTATTCTGTTAAAAAAACCCAACAACTCAACAACAAATGAATCAGTATGGATGCATCTGGTTCTTTGGGTTGTATTATATAATGTTTCCAGTGATTATATTCTCTCTTCTCCTGTCTGAGGCAGATAAAACTACATAAATATAAAACTGAAATCTACAGTATTTTGCATTTGAAGATATGGATAAATACATAAAGGGTCAGTCTACAGGAGGAAAATTCTCCTTGGCAAGACTGAACAGTTCACAAAATTTCTGCCAGTGTTTGTTAAACAGAGAGGAAGAACAAAAGCTCACACCTATATAACTTTAGGGTGAAAATGCTGGATACCACTAGGACCTTGCTATCATTGGTTTACACAGAGTTTTTAGAAAAATACCTACTCAACTTCATTCTCAGGCAGTGCATTAAGTTCTTTACACTGGAGGTAAAGTTTTTCCTTGCTCATATATAGTTCACTATCTTTCATCTAAATTACATCCCTTTTAGTGAGGGTGGCTTTTATCTTCTGTTTAAGGGTCTACCTAATTAAAACTTGAAATATGTTATAGTTTGAGAGCCTTTTATGAGGTCCATGTGTGTTAGACTTCTAGTGTTCTGAAAAACCAAAGAGGTGATCCAGGTTTCAGAGCTGCACTCTGAGCCCATTGCCAGAGATCCTCTCCCTATGGATACTGAAGAACTGTCAAGGGTATTTTTGATAGATGTTGCTTCTGCTGATGTTCATGTGTAAATACTCACTTCCAACAAGTGTGTGTCCCAGCCCATCCACTCGTTCCCTAACTTCACCTTCCTATATACCGAGTGCTGTATTTTGGTTAGGTGGCTGCAGATAAGTCTGAATATTATGCTGCATCTTTTTTTTAAAGGACATCCTGATATATCACTGTATTGTGTGATACCTTACTCAGAAGTTTTTGTATTAATTAGCTGGTAGCGATCTTTGCTTCATAATAGTTGATGGAAGCACAAAAAGGAATCCTGTTCTACTTGGATTGTAAAAGAATTAACCAAAATTAGAAACGGCATAACCCACTCCCCCACAGCAAGTATACAAGTGTTTATGAAAATCATAGCCCACGTGATACTAGTCACTAGGAATAGATACGAGTCCAGTGCTGATAAAGGCCATGTAAAAAACACTTTTAAGATATGATCAAATTTAGAAAATTAGAAATTTTTTCTCAGTACAACTGTAGGAGATAACAATAAGAGATTAGTTAGAATGAGAAAATATGTAATCACTGTATTTAAATTTTAAATTTAAAAAAATGACAGTACTAAGATAGTAACAAAGTGTTTGGGTTATTTTCTTTCTTTCTTTCTTTCTTTCTTTCTTTCTTTCTTTCTTTCTTTCTTTCTTTCTTTCTTTCTTTCTTCCTTCCTTCCTATCCAGATTTGTGTTCCTGAGTTGTTTGGCTGCTTCTGCGTATCCCTCCCACTGTCAAAGAATGCAACAAAGTTCTGTCTACACAGAAAGCAAAAGCTACAAGTAATCCAGCCTGTTGACAATAAGATCAGTAAGTGGGAAATATGTGATGAGATGTTATGCTCAATAAAACAATGAAATGAAGTGAGAACCTTTTTTTTTTTACTTTTTTTTTTTCTCTATTCTAGGGAGGTTTTTTTTTGGAGAAGGGGTTTCTGTCTGTTGATAAACCTTCTAAAATGGAGAAAGTAGAAGGAACTGGTATGGTCAGTAAAGTTGTGAGGTAAGAGATCAACTTTACAGAATATGTAACTCAAAAGCAGGAATTCTGAGCACATGTAAGGCAAAAGCTACAAAATACAAACGCTGTGCAAGAAACTTATTCACTGTGTTGAGGATAGTTTTATGCTGGGTGCTGTGTGAGGTGTGTTTCTTGGAGAGGCTGCTGTAAAAAAAGCACTTAGCAGTGCCTTTACCACTGCAGAATCACAGGTAGGATGCTTCTGTCCAGAGAAAAAGCAATGAGGCTTTAAAGACTGTTCTGCTTCTTAAATTTAACTATAGAGTTTAGGTTATATGTTATAATTTGGGGAGCTGAACTCTCTGTTATTTGGGAATTCTTGGTATTCTTACATTCTTGGGAACTCCTGTATAGTAGAATACAAGGTTTGTTCAGAAAGTTAATCAGGTGGTTTAGATCAAGGGCAGTGGCTAAAAAGGGATGTTTTAGGGCCAAAACAGGAAAAAAGAAAAAAAGAGATTCCTAACTAGTTATTTTTCTGAATCTGAGCCTAAACCAGCTAATTTTTGGGTTTATTCTTTGGACAGCTTATAATGAAAATGTAGGATTAAAAGTGGCTTTTTAAACTATTGTTAAATTAGGGACTACTAGGCAGCAGTTGAGAAATAAAGTTGCCATTAGTAACAACACAGTAATTCAGCCTGCAGAGCTCCTTGCTAATTAACAAAAAACAGTACCCATAACTATGGATTCCTACACTTATTGTGGACAGAGCATGCAAATAAAATTATTTATTACAATTACTTAGCAGGGGCCCTGCATTCCATTAGAATTCAAGCAAACTGCACCTGAATTGCTTAGTTATGCCTTGTTTTATATTGGCCCAGACAAAGGAAAAATGAAGCCAACTGAAGCACACAATAAAAATGTTAATAAAAAATCCTACCAGACCTGCAACCAAAAAAACTGTAGTTATTTTCTATCCTTTGTCTCAGTAATAACACTTCAGTGGGTCACTGCCTCTACTCTGAGACTGGAAGAGATGTGGCCAGCTCAGGACAGGGTTGAGCCCAGAGGACTGAGCAGAGAGTGCTGCAGTGAGGAGAATGGGGATAGTTGCTGTTGTCCTAATCAGGCTGTGTGAGGACTTTTTTGGTATTGTGTTTTGGAATGTATTGTTTTTGTTTGTTTGTTTTGTTTGTTTGTTTTTGTTTGGGGGTTTTTGGTTTTTTTGTGTGTTTTTGTTGTTGTTTTTGTTTGTTTTTTGTTTTGTTTGTTTTTTTTGTTTGTTTGATTTTTTTTCTCTCTAAATCTGGAAAGTCAGCATGCCAGCTCCTGTTGAAATAAATGGAGATGGACATGCTGTCCAAACAGGGAAAAATTTTCTATGCCCTTTTGAGGTGTTTTAAGAAGGAACAGTTCTTCCCTGTTAGCCCACACTTCAAATGTTAGATGTATAAATAAAAGACTGGCTGTGTACTCTCTCACCAGTTTTATTTTGAGATTTTTTTTTCCCTTCCTTTCGGAACATTAGATATTTTTTAGTTATTTTTCCATATTTGTTACCCATAAAAAGTCTGTAGGAAATTCAGTAATTCTAAAACTGGAAAAGTGTCCATATTTATTTTTTGACAAATTTGTTATGGCTGTTCAGTAATACTAACATATCTCATTTTTTAGGTCTACAGTCTGCTGGGCAACTGGATTTTTTGATGAGTTAAAAGTTTCTTTTCATTTTAGACCCCAGAAATAACTGGACCTTTAGGAATGCCAGGCTGAACTTTGCCAATGTCTGGAGCATTTTGGTTAAAATGCATTGTAGAAATAAATTAAACTGTTTCATTAAGATGCACAGATGCCTTCCCAAATTCTTCCCTTTTGATAGACACACCATGTACTTGTTAAACTACTGACTTGCCTTAGTTTTAAGGACTAACTTTTGTTTCTCATTGCTTTCCCCACAAGCTAACTTATTGTTAATCACAAGCAAGTAAGTATTCAACTTTGGGGGTAAGAATCTGTGGAATAATGATTGCTTTATTGATTTTAATGCAAAAATGAATAAATAAAGTTATAATTGTTTCTCCATCTTAGTTTGAATTCAGAATTTCTTTTTTTTGTTTAGTGTCTGTATGTCAGAGTAACTTGTGCATTATCTTCTGTAACTTGTTATTCTATCAATGTATGTATTTTATTTTGACAGTTTGGCAAAAGCCATGTGGTAAGATAAAAATTGAACTTGATGTAAAGATTGAATGTTCTTTTTATTTTGAGAGTTGGTAGTAGTTATAACTCGTTATAATTCTGGGGTTTGACAGTTTATTTTTTACATAGAACAAAAGGTAGCATGCAAAATAGAGTAGAAATTAAAAAAAAACTCACCCTTGAATAAAACCAGTGCTTTTCAATATAAATTAGCTAAATTCTGAGCGTATGAGATGTCCCTAACTGCCATATTTCTTTACTGATTTGATACTGTGACAATGAAAGGACAAGTCCCAAAGTACTGGCAGAGTCTAACAGCAGAAGTCTTGTGCAACTTTGGAAGAAGTGGGTTTGTTCAGACTTACAGGCAGCGGGAGCTGACAGAGGAGCATTACAGGAACTTTTCATGCATTTGAGAACTTGCAAAAGAGTCAGTGATTTTTGTGCCTGCAGAGGAAAGCGTCTTTACTGGCTTTAAAGACCCACTGACTTTGCGGTGTTTTAGGAAACACTTTCTTATGAGATTTCTTAGGTGGTGGAACAATTTACCTAAAGACTGTATGGCTGACTAAGGGTAAGTTTTTAAAGGAAGTTACCGTAGTATCTCTCAGGAATGAACCTTGTGACAAAGTGAAAGAAGTAAGCTCTGTCCTGTTACAGTGTTTTTATTTCATAGATGCCATGGAGTTTAGTGACATTCTCACATTGTTTCCTGGAATAATGTTTTTATTGATGGTAGAGTTTTCAAGGTGTTTGTATAAACACTTGAAGTTCTGGCATGTTATGAAATGGGTTGGTGTAAATACAGGCTTCTGCCTGTGAGGTGACTCCACTGCCTTACCACATTTACCACCAGTGCTGGGTTTCTTTTCAGGCTGGTTTTCAGTTCATTGGGGTGACAAATATGGACAACTTAGGTGAAGGCACATCTGTCCCTTTTGCAGCAGCAGCTGCTCAGTGTGACTATGGAACAGTAGCTTAAAGCTCTGCAACCAAGGATGGTCAGTTACAGGGCCAATTGATACTACAAGTCCCGACCTAGGTCCTTTTTGAGGAAAAGACAACAGGCCTGAAAGAGGGGCATAATGCAAGACAGCAATGCAGCAAGCATTGACCTTTTATATTAGCATTAAATGGAAGTGCTAGGTATTGAGTTCTGTCCAATAGGCTTTAGCAAAGAACCAAATGAAGCAATTCCAGTTTTCAACTTTGCAAAAAAAAGTGATAGCTGGAGAGAGATAACCATCTAATAAAGAAGTCAGATAGCATATGTGTGTTTGTTCAAGTGGGGCTTTGTATCATTTGCAGAATTTGTCAGTAATGGTAAGAAAATTAGTATAGAATTCAAACTAATCACAGAAAAACCTTATCACAGGGTCCCTCTGCACTAGAGGTGAAAAAATCATACTGCCAGCAGGAATCATATTTTGCAGGGGGGAGAAAATCTAAGGGAGGTAGAAGATTAAGGAAAAAATCTTCCATTTGAGTATGGGGTCTAACTGAGATGGAGTTAGTTTCCCCACAGAGGCCCTGAGTGCTGTGCTTTACATTGGCAGCTGTAAAGGTGCCTGTAACACACCAGTGTTTTGGCTACTGTTGAGCATTTTGTCCCACCAACATCTTCCCCTCACTGGTAGGGTGGGTTTGGGGGATGGGCAAAATCTTGGGAGGGGATATAACCAGCACAGCTGACCCAAACTGTCCAAAGAGATATTCCATATCATATGGTGTCTGCTCAGATATAAAATCTAAGAAGGAGAAGGAAGGTGTGTATGTGGGGAGTCATTCGTTATTTGCAGTGTTCACCTTCCAGAGCAACCACTATGCGTGCTGAAGCCCTGCTTCCTGGGAAATGGCAAGACATCACTTGCTGATGGGAAGTGGAGAATAAAATCTTTTTCCTTTGCTGGTGTGCACATGTTTTGCTTTTACTTTAGTAAACTACCTTGTCTTGATCTATGAGGGTTTTTTTCCATCTTATTTTCCTTCCCCATCTTCCTGGTGATGGGAGTGATGGAGTGGGTTGGTGGGCACTTGGCATCCGGCCGGATAAGACCAACCCACTGCAGTTTGCTATAGTATTTTAGTAATTTGCAGTGTTACAGGGTAGATGTAAACCCCAACCTAGATAAAATAGTACCTTTGACATGGAACATAGGATTAAGCATGATGATCTCAAAAATTAGATAATTAGAGGCTGGAACCACACAATGCAACACAAACTGCAGCGAGGCCACCCTTCATGGAGTTCCAGAAAAAGTCTTTAGTTTCTTACTTGGTGTGACCTTGCTTTCTTACTTGGTGTGACCTTGCTCCCACTTCTGTGTACTTGCTGATTCAGTTTAAAATATTTTTTCTTTAAAAGCTTCTAAGTTTCTGTAATGTATGTCAACTGCCAGGTGTCTCCAAGTCATAGATATTCCTGCAGAGCCCAGCAGAAACTGAGATATAGCATGCACTTATTCCTCTGGTGCAGTGGCTTTGACGGATAACAGAACAGTCTTCCAGATCCCAGTTTTTCAAAACCTCACTCTTGGTTGTTAGGAGTTGTGGAAATTCAGTGTTAAAGGTTACAGTTACAATTTTTTCTGTCGAAATTGCCAGAGACTTTAAGATCTCTTCAAGTTTGGCTGTGCTGCTGAAGCTAGCAGGAGCTAAATAACTTGTGGTCTTTTTATGTGTTGTTGGTGATAGATTCAGATGTGTAAAGATACAAATAAATGGTTCTATGGGATTTTTCAAAACCCAGCAACATTTCAGGGAGAATTAGTAGCCTTTTTGCAACTCCTAACCTTCTTCTCTTTGGCAGCAGATGCAGGGATGCCCAGCATAAAGTTCATCACCAGTTTGAAAGCGGCTTCCATGGCACAGCTACTTCATATGCCTCACAGGAGATTGGGATATTGCAGGGCTTTAGGAGTCTCCCAGGTGTCTGACTGTGTGAGTGACTGCTGGCACTGCTCAGGGACTTAATCTGCAGCTCCTGCTGCAATGAAATTTTCACCTGCCTCCACCCCTCGACTCTCATACACTCTTCACTTAAAAATGGTGTGGGAGGCAGGAGGCTGGCAGCAGGGAGATTGGACTTCTGCGGCAATGCTTGTGTTACAGGCAGTGTTTGGTCACAATTGTGTGCCTCAATCGGGCTGGGCGTGTGGCTGTGCTGGAGCTGGCTGCAGTTCCTGGCCCAAGCCTTACCCAGGAGAGAGCTAACTGGGCAGTGCCAGGATTCTGTGGGAGCAGTGCTAATGATTAAAAAGTGCAAGTGACACGGATCATTGTGCTTGCCATGCTTTATTTGCTGGTACTGTGAGAAACAGTTTTTCCTCAGGCACGTGATCATATGGAAACATATTCTTGTCTTGAATATACCTTGGGCTGCAGAGCCTGAAGGTGCTACACTTAATGAGGCATTATGGCAACTACATGCCAATGCCAGCAAGAAAATCTGTCTTTTAAATTTAAAAGATCTAAGAATTTTCCGTTTACTGATAGGCTGGTAAGGGGGAAAGAAATAAGTCAATTCATCTCTCAATGGAAAACTGTTGTAAATTAAATATCTCAAGGAGTTTAGGACCTGTCAGAGGTTCATAGAATCACAGAACATGAGGAATTGAAAGGGACACATGAGGATCATCAAGTCCAAGTCCCGGCCCTGCATCGGACACCCCAAGAATCACACCATATGCCTGAGAGCGTTGTCCAAACTCTTCTTGAACTCAGTTTGTCTCGCTGCTCCCACTGAGCTGTTAATCAGTTTGATCACATAATACTAAAGGGCCTTCTAAAAGAAGTCATCGTAGGGAAGCGTGAAGAACGAGGGCAGCGAGTGAAGTGTCCGCTGCTTCGCGGCAGCGACCCACCCGTGGAGGGACACGGTGGTGCCTCCCGCCGCCCCGCACGGCTGCCGCCGGTCGTTTGTGAGCGGTTTTTAAGCACTCCGAGCTCTTCATCCTTCGGCGTGCACCGATGTCGGGTGAAGCCCGACCGCCGAGCCGGGGATGAGGCCGCCGGGATGCGCTGTCCGCCCGCGACGGGCCGAGCGCATCCCGGGACGCCGCCGTGCCGGCCCCAGACGATGGCGCTGCAGCCCCGTGGCTGCGGCGCGGCGGCGGCCGGCGGGGGTCGCTGCGGAGCGGTCCGGCGGCGGCGCGGGGCTGCGGTGCGGGGAGGCGGCGGCGGGAGCGGCGGTGCCGCACAGCCGCGGGTGCTGGTCCCGGCGGAGGCATGAGGAGCGCGGGGCGGGCGGGCGGCGGCGCAGCAGAGCGTGGGTCGGCGCGGCCCTGAGCGGAGCCTCCGCGCCACGCTGCGCTCCCGCAGAGCGACTATGGCCGGGGGAAGGCGAGGGCTGGTGGCGCCTCAGAACACGTTCCTGGAGAACATCGTGCGAAGGTCTAATGGTAAGGGGCACGGCGGGCGAGCCCTCGCCGGGGCGAAGCAGCCCCGCCGCTCCTTCTGCGGGGGCAGCGCCGGGCGGGGGGCGCGGAGCCCTGGCAGCCGCCGGGCGGCTCCGCCGGAGCGGCACATCCAGGTGCGGGAGCCGGTGCCGGCTGCTCCGCCCAAGTCCTGCGGGGAGCCCCCGGCCCGGGCGGCGGGACTCGGGCTGCAGGTGCACCCGCACGGCGGGGCGGACGGAGAGAACCGGTGGCTGCGGCGGGGCCGGACCTGTGCCTCGGGGCCAGCGGGGGCAGCGCCGCACCCGGGGCGGGGGGCGCGGGGCGTCGGGGCCGGCGGCGGCTCCGGCCGGGGAGAAGGTGCGGGGATTCAAGATGGTCTCTGGGCACG